ATTTTATAAGTTTTATAAGTAGTTAAGTAATAGAAGTAGGTTTTAGAAGCTGCAGCCCTTATCCCTCACCCTTTAGCACAAGTAGTTTACACATTCCCTACCCCATCACCCCATTCTATGTTCCCCATATCAATCCTACCCCTGTATTCCAGTAGAAAGTGTTTAGTCTTTTGTTGAGGCAGGCCTATGCTGTTTAGAGAACACTCATATCTTAGCCTGAACCACAGAACACAGTCAAGAACTGGGTGACCATGTACCCTCTGTGCTCTGAAAATGATGAAGATGATGAAGAAGGGGTCCTGAAATACACCCCAGACCCAATTCCCAGGGGGTGGGCCAAGAGGTAGACCAGGGTAAAAGCAACGGAATGGACAAAACTTGGATTAGTCGGGCGGTAACATCTCAGGCACGGCCTGCACACATCTTGTAACATCTATGCCTGGGCACAAATTAAACCCTTTCCTTATCTCACCCTCAATTAACTGCTCCAGAGTTTTCTTTTCTCAGCACCATTAGGTATCATGACAGAGGGGAGGACATGAAGTCACAGGGATTATATGATATCACAGGAGAGGTGTTATGTCATATGATTGATGTGACATAGAGGAGATGTGATGTCACAGGAAGGATGTGATGTCATATGGTGGATGTGATGTCATAGGGGTGATGCCTTAAGCCCCTAATGGTTTTTTATTTTTCTAATATTTGTAAGACTTGTAAGTTTTATAAGTAGGTTTTAAAAGCAGAAACCCTCCCTTCTTTGTCCCTTGTCCCTTTCCCTTTCGCCAGTACCCTTGTTTACACATTCCTTAACCCTCTTACCCCATTCTATCCTCCCTATATCAATCCTACTTCTGAATACAGCAGAAATATTTAGTCTTTTGTCAAGGCAAAGCCTAGACAGTTGACAGAACAGCATATCTGGGCCTAAACCACAGAATACGGTCAAGAATTAGGTAACTATGTACCCTTTGTGCTCTGATGATGGTGAAGGTGATGAAGTAGGTGGTCCCAAAATGCGCCCCAGACCCATTTTCAGGGGGTGGACCCCGGGGCGGTCCAGAGTAAAGGCCACAGGGTGGACACATCTGGGATTGGATGGATGGTATTATAAAAATGTAACCTCTCGGGCACAGGGGCGCACGTCTTGTAACATCTTAGCCTTGGTAAATAAACCCTTTCTTATCTCACCCCTTATTTACTGCTCTGGAGATTTTTTCAGCACCATAAATCTCACGGCAACAGGGGAGATGTAATGTCACAGAAAGGGTGTGATGTGACAGGGGAGGACTTGATGTCACAGGAAGGATGTGATGTCACAGGGGGTGTGATGTCATAAGGAAGATATGATGTCATGTTATGCTTGTGACGTCATATGGGGAGAGGTGATGTCACAGGAAGGATGTGATGTCACAGAAGAGCTGTGATGTCACAGGGGTGATGTGATGTCATAGCGGAGCACGTGAAATCACAGGGATTCTATGATACCACAGGAGAGATGTGATGTCATATGATGGATATGATGTCATAGGGGAGCTGTGATGTCACAGGAAGGATGTGATGTCACAGGGATGTGTGATGTCACAGGGATGATATGGTATTACAGGAGAGATGTGATGTCGTATTATGGATGTGATGTCATAGGAGAGATGTAATGTCACAGGGGTGATGTGATAAAAGGGGAGTATGTGATGTCACAGGGATTATATTATATCACAGGAAAGATGTGATGTCATATTATGCATGTGACGCCTTAGGAGAGATGTGATGTCACAAGGGAGGACGTGATGTCACAGGGATGATATGGTATGACAGGAGAGATGTGATGTCATATGATGGATGTAACATCACAGGAGAGATTTGATGTTGTAGGGGAGGTGTGATGTCACAGGAAGGATGTGATGTCATAGGGAGCATGTGATGTCATAGAGGAGTGACACATTCCCCCCACATAGAGGAGATGTGATGTCAAAGAGGAGGATCTGATGTCACAGGGGAGCTGTGATGTCACAGAGGAGGATGTGATGTCACAGAGGAGGATATGATGTCACAGCGGATGACCTGACGTCACAGATGCCCCTTGTCACAACAATGATGTGATGTCACAGGGCAGGTGTGATGTCACAAAGGAGCACGTGATGTCACAGGCATGATATATCATCACAGGGGAGATGTGATGTCATATGATGGATGTGACGTCATATGGGAGATGTTATGTCACAGGGCTGATGTGATGTCACAGGGAAGCTGTGAAAATGCAAAAACTTCTTTCAGGCAGTCAGTTCTTCTGGGCAGGGCCGTCTGACTCTTGGTGTGTTTCCCTCCATGTGCTCAGCACCAGCACAGGGCACACTGAGGGAGGTCTCCAAACTTTCCTGTAGGTGATTCCGTCAAAACTAATCCCCTCCCAGGGCATCACAAGATGATGCTCATCAGCTCTTCCAAGTCAAAGGATACTTCTTTTCCCCCAGGGCAGAACAGATGGAAACATGCTACCAGTGCAAGGGAGGGACAGCGGAGGCCCATCCTCTGCCATGGGGGCGGTGACCCAGACTCTCTGTCCTCTAGTCCCTCTGGGATCCCTGAGGTTTCCCTCTGGTCCCCTCTGGCTCTCTGTGCTTGGAAAGCCTTCCAAATCCATTCTGATGAGGGGAGGTGGTGATGCAGCAACAGCAGACGCCTCGTGGGATGCCTGGACACCCCTGGGGAGGCAGAGCTGGGGCCACTCATTCTGTGCCCTATCCCGGCTGCATGCTGGGGGGACTGCCCTGAGGAGAGACAAGGCTTCTCCTGGGGAAAGTCTCAGCCAGAGCTCAACTTCCCAAACAAGCCTGGGGCTGGGGGTGTGCCAAGGGGGAAGTTGTCCTGCATGTAGCAGGACAGGACAAGCAGGACGCAGTCTGCTCAGGAGTTTCTTTTTTGTGATAACATCCACGCCTGGAAAGCTCCCCAGACAGCCACCAGAGATGATGTCTGTATCGGGGCGAGGCTGGGATGTTATTTTTTGGTCTGTGTTTGGCCCTAGCCACCTGCAAAAGTTTATGTTTTCCCCTGCCAAGTCTGCTGATAAAGCAGAGAACTTGGCCTTGGAGGGAGAACTTCTGTGTAAACTGTTTTAATTGGTCTGTTGTGATTAGTCCATTGCTCTTCAAGGGCAGTTGGAGGACAAAGTGATGATGAAGGTGGTGAAGGGCCTCCCCCAGACTCAATTGGAAAGACCCCCCCCAATTCACTGCACCTGCGTCAGGGGATTTCCAAGGTGCTCACGCATACGCAGGAGGGGTGCACTTACATAACAGACGGGGTGGGATTGAGAGCCCCTGACGGGGCGGTACTGGCCACACCTCCCCGGGGCAGGTGCTCTCAATAAACTTTATAAAGGCAGACTCGTGTCTTGGGGGTGGGTTGGCTCTTCATGATGGACCAAGTTGTTTCTAGCGGGGACGCCTGCTGGATGTGAGAGCCTGCCACCCCTCCGGAACACGCAGATGCCGTAGAGAGACTTCATTACTGGTTAGGATGGGTAAGATTATCTTATAGGTGACACCTGGGTGAGTATTAGGTGTTGAGCCTCCTTCCTAGGGTCTTTTGTGCACTTTTTCCTCCGACCTAATTGTTTTCCCTCAGGCGCCTGTTTTTTCCCCTTTTTTCCCTGTTTGCCACCTTTTTTTCGAATAAATAGCTATTTTTTGCCAACTAGCAATGGTGTTTGGTTTATTCACGTTCCAGAATCCCTCAAACCTGTTTTTCCCCTGTTTTTTTCACCTTTCCCTGTTACAACGTCACAGGGATGATGTGATGTCACAGGGATGATGTGATGTTACAGGGGGAGCTGTGATGTCACAGGAAGGATGTGATGTCATATGATGGATGTGACATCATAGAGGAGATGTGATGTCACAGGGAGGATGTGATGTCACTGGAAGCTGTGATGCCACAGAGGAGGATGTGATGTCATAGGAGACATGTGATGCCACAGATGGGGATGTGATGTCACAAGGGAGTTGTGATGTCACAGAGGATGATGTGACGTCACGAGGAGGATGTGATGTCACTGGCAGGATATGATGGCAAAAGGTGGATGTGATGTCACAGGAGAGATGTGATGTCACAAGGGAGCAACTGTGGCAGCATCAGGAGCAGGGGTTTCAGAATCTGTCTGGTTTCAATATTCCAAGTCCTCTGGGAGCACATGGGACAAGCCCCAAGACAAGAAGCCTGGGTCCTGGCCCTCTTGTCTGTGAACTCTGCGTGTCCAAACAAAACAGGGGCAGAGGTGGGACCAAGCGGAGTCACTCTGCACCTGCACTGAGTTCATGGGAATGCAAAGGGAGGATGGACCTTGTTTGAGTGCTTGGAAAGAGAGAAGGTTGTTTTCTCTGGTGGCTGAACACAGCCAGCACATGAGGGGAGGGGAATGTGTGGGATCAGGGCACTGCTTTGGGGCAATGCTGGGAATTCTGGTGGACTAAAAGACAAACACCGGGTGCTGCTCACGAGAGAAGAGGAATAAAACGGGACACAGAAAAGTGTCGGCGGACAAGTCCCAGAATGGAACTCTGTGTGTGCAGCCTCATTTTCTCCTTCTGCACCCACAGGAGGGGGGGTTAAAAGTGGGAGTTGGGACTCCAAAACTGTTTGGGGGTAAATTGGGGTTTGAGGGAACAATGAAAAAGTAGGATGAACAGGAAGAAGGGTGGAAAAGGCGGGCTGGTTTGGTAGGTCCGATGGTCCCATGGTGGTCTTTGGGCACAGGGGGGCTGGCAAAAGGGGGTGGCCCTCCTGAGCTCCCAACTTACTGTGGGGTGCTGAGGGATGCCGGATGCAATCTCAGCCTTGGGTTATGCCAACAGTTTCAGTTTAGAGGAATTACAGAGGTGTGACTGAAACACTTTGGTCCCCCAGCTTTTACGATGGCAAATCAGATCTATTGATAGAAATGAATTATTTAGCGTTACAAATGATGAGACAAAACATCTTCATCAGAATTCCTTACTGCACAACAGAAACACTAGAACTACCAGGAGTACAGCATAAGATAGGACAGGGCTCTACACTAAAGCAATTGTTGAAGCAATTCTACTCAAGCTGGCACAAAAGCAATAATTCTCAATTAGAGACGGATGGAACTCCCCCAGACCAACGCTCAGGGGGAGATCTCTGCTCTCAACCTCCAGCAGTGACCTTAGGGGGTCCCCAGCCAAAGCAGGAATCTCCACACATCCCCAGGAAGGGTTCTGTTGGCAGAACCTGCCCCTGGGGAAGGGGACTGGCTCTTTGTGGTCAAAAGCGATGGACTGACAGTCACTGGACTCCAGGGGTTGCCTCACCATCACGGGGTTCATTTGGGGTAGAAGAAGCAGCCAAAACTCTTCCTGCAGTCGAGGCACTGGTAGGGCTTCCCTTACTGGTGGGTCCTTTGGTGTTTGGTCAAGTTAGAGTTCTGGGTGAAGCTCTTCCCACACTCCCCACACTTGTAGGGCTTCTCCCCGGTGTGGATGCGTCGGTGGGTGATGAGGGTGGAGCTCCGGTTGAAGCCCTTCCCGCAGTCGGTGCAGCGGAAGGGCCTCTCATCCGTGTGCGTCCGCTCATGCAGGAGGAGACTCCCACTGGTCTGAAACCTCTTCCCACATTCCAAGCACTTGTAGGGCCGTTCCTCACTGTGGATGCCCTGGTGGGTGAGGAGGTGGGAGCTGTTCATGAAATTCTTCCCACATTCCCCACACGTGTAAGGCAGTTCCCCAGTGTGGATGCGCTGGTGGGTGCGAAAGTTGGACCTCCGGCCAAAGCCCTTCCCACATTCCCCACACGTGTAGGGCCATTCCCCAGTGTGGATGTGCTGGTGGGTGCGAAGGGTGGACCTGTCACTGAAGCTCTTCCCGCATTCCCTACACGTGTAGGGCCGTTCCCCAGTGTGGATGTGCTGGTGGGTGAGGAGGGCGGTGCTTGTCCTGAAGCTCTTCCCACATTCCAAGCACCTGAAGGGTTTCTCCCTGCTGGGAGGCTGCTCAGGGACCACCAGGTCAGAGCTCTCCCTCAAGCTCCGGCCGCCTTCCTGGCACAGGCTGGCTCTTTCCTCCTCAGAGCACCCTGGGCTGGCTTTGGAGCCCCTCCTGCGGGGGGATCTCCGGCCCTTTTCCTCCCCGCTGCCTTCCTGCGCCGGGGAGCCCTTCAAAACGGCCTCTCCCAACAGGGTCTCACGGGGGGATTTGTCCTCCGGGCTCTCCGTCCTCAGCTCAGGGCCTGGGGCAGGAAGCAAGAAGGACAGGGAGGGGATTTGCCTCCAGCCCAGAGGGAAGGCCAAGGACATCCCCCCAACTCCGGCCCCGGCAGGACGGCGGCGGCAGCGGGGTTGTCCTGCAGCCGGGGCCATGCTCGGCTGACAGAGCCAGCACAACACCCGCCCAAAGGGCCACTGACTTCCTCCTCACCTGCCTGGGGGGCCCAAGGCATCTTCCTCTTCCTCGCAGCCTCCTCCGCCATCCACCCAAGCTTTGGGAAGGACAAATCCTGATGAGGGGGAAAACAAGGGCTGAGCGCGTTGGCCTGGGGGTTCCTCCTGCCCAAGTCCATCTCTAGCATTCACTGGGCATCCTGTGTCCATAAAAACCTCCAAAACACCAAGATTCAGCCCAGAAAAACCCAAACCACCCAGATTCAGGCAACAGTCCCCCAGAAAGAGTGAGATGAACCTCCCCCACAAACTGCAAAAAGTTAGGGTTCAGCCAAAAAATACTTCAAACTATGAACATTCAGCCCAAAAAAATTTTCCCAGAAGTTCCCTCTCTCTGGTCTCTCCCCTCTGGCATTCGGAGGGTGTCCCCTGTCCGGGATGCTGGGGGTCCCACTTCGGGATGCTGGGAGTGTTGGGGGTCCCAAGGGTCCCTTCTACTCTGACTCTCTCCTTCGGGGTGTCTCGTTCCCAGACATTCCTCCTCTCCAAGTTCTCCACTTTGTTATCCCAGGGGTCCCCACTGTCCAGGCTTCCCCTTCTCTGAGCCCCCCGTTTAAGGTTCCTGGGGGTCCCGGGGTTCCTCCCTCTCCGTGCTCCCCCCTCCAGGCTGCCGGGGGTCCCCCAGCTCTGGCATCGCCCCGCTCCACCCTCCACACTCGGCAGCTCTCGGGTTCCACACCCACCCCTGGCACTCCCGGGGGGACCCCAAAACCGCTGTGTCCCCCCCGCCGGCACTGGGCTGACAATGGAGCCGGCGGGGCCTGACCCAGCAACACCAATCCCAACCGCTAAGTGGGACCCACATAAGGGCCAGCTGTGCCCAAGGCACCCAAACAGTCCCACAGGCGGGGGCACACCAGAAACTTCCTTAGGGCAACAAGAACAGGGAGCGGATCGGGCCCCCTGACACGTGGGTGGGCTCTGGGTTCAGCCTGACCAGGGGCAATTTGGCACCAACAGCAGGGCCCTCAAAGCTGGCTCGGCGCAGGGGGGTCGAGCTCCCCCCTCTCCAGGCTCTCACAGTTCCCCCCTCTCTCCATCCTCCACTACTCTCCAAGGATCAAGTCATGGGGACAACAAGGCACCCCCACTGCACATCCACTCCCACTCTCCCTCCGCCCCCTACCCCCCCCCCCACCGCTTTCCCGGGGTGTTCTCCAGTGTGGATGAGCTTGTGCTGGATCAGGTGAGAGCTTTGGATAAAGCTCTTGCCACACTTGTAGGGCCTCTCTCCAGTGTGAATGCGCCGGTGGGTGACGAGGTGGGAGTTCTGCTTGAAGCCCTTCCCGCAGTTGGTGCAGCGGAAGGGTCTCTCATCCGTGTGTGTCTGCTCATGCCTGAGGATACTTGAGTTGGTCCGAAACCTCTTCCCACATTTCAAGCACTTGTAGGGCCGTTCCCCAGTGTGGATGCGACGGTGGGCGCAGAGGACGGAGCTCTGCCTGAAGCTCTTCCCACATTCCCCACAAGTGTAGGGCCGTTCCCCAGTGTGGATGTGCTGGTGGCGGAGGAGGTTGAAGCTCTTCCTGAAGCTCTTCCCACATTCCAAGCACCTGAAGGGTTTCTCCCTGCTGGGAGGCTGCTCAGGGACCACCAGGTCAGAGCTCCCCCTCAAGCTCCAGCCGCCTTCCCAGCACAGGCTGGCTCTTTCCTCCTCAGAGCACCCTGGGCTGGCTTTGGAGTCCCTCCTGTGGGGGAATCTCCGGCCCTTTTCCTCCCCGCTGCCTTCCTGCGCCGGGGAGCCCTTCAAAACGGCCTCTCCCAACAGGGTCTCACGGGGGGATTTGTCCTCCGGGCTCTCCGTCCTCAGCTCGGGGCCTGGGGCAGGAAGCAAGAAGGACAGGGAGGGGATTTGCCTCCGGCCCAGAGGGAAGGCCAAGGACATCCCCCCAACTCCGGCCCCGGCAGGACGGCGGCGGCAGCGGGGTTGTCCTGCAGCCGGGGCCATGCTCGGCTGACAGAGCCAGCACAACACCCGCCCAAAGGGCCACTGACTTCCTCCTCACCTGCCTGGGGGGCCCAAGGCATCTTCCTCTTCCTCGCAGCCTCCTCCGCCATCCGCCCAAGCTTTGGGAAGGACAAATCCTGATGAGGGGGAAAACAAGGGCTGAGCGTGTTTGTTTGGGGGTTCCTCCTACCCAAGTCCATCTCTAGAGCTCACTGGGCATCCTGTGTCCATAAAAACCTCAAAACACCAATACTCAGCCCAGAAAAGCCCAAACCACCCAGATTCAGGCAAAAAAACCTCTCAGAAATAGTAAGAAGATCCTCTTCCCCCCGAATCACACAAAGCTGAAATTCAGCTGAAAAATACTCCAAAATATGAAGATTAGCCCCCTCTCCCACCCCGTAGCTCCCCTCTCCCACCCCTTTCCCACCCGCCCCCCAAAGCCTGGCTCCCCTCAGTTCCCTTGTGGGGTGACCCACCGCCCCTAATGCTCTCTTTGGGGGTCCCACCCGCTCTTTTTGCTTCTCTCGCCCCTTTCCCATCGTGGCCGTTCCGCTCCCTTGACAGCGGCAGGAAGGGAAGGGACGGGGGGAAGCAGCAACAGCAACAGCAGGAGGACAATCGGCTCTCATCCCATGGGTGCCCAGGAGGGGGGAACTTGTCCCAAATATCCTGGGGGGAGCGCGGGGAGATCGTGACATATTTGGGCTGCCAGCACAGATTTCCCTGCAAAGTCTGCACTGAGTCAAGTTCTGGAGAGGAGATTGTGCCTCATGCATGGGATTGCAGAGGCTCCCTCAGGTCCCCAGCAGGAATCAGCAACCAGGAATAGACAAAAAAAGGCCCCCATGAAGATTTTGGGAGGAGTGTCCTGTAGGGAGGGGACAGTGTCACCCAACCTGGGCAAGGTGGCTCTGCTGCCACAGGCTGTGCCCTCACCGTGGCCCTGCAATGGCCCTGCCTGTCCCTCACCCGTGGCCCTGCCCGTGGTCCTGTCCCTTGGCTCTCTCTCTGCCAGCTCAGTGTGGGGCACACGGGCTGGGGGTCCCTCCCAAGCCCCCCGGGTAGCCGGCGTTGGCTGTGGGGATGTGAGGGCTGGGCCTGCTCAGCACAGCCCCGGCCTCGTGCCCAGCGCCTCTTTCCTGCCCCACACAAGAGCTTCCCGGCCCCCCCAGGGCTCCCCTGCTGCTGCCTCTGCTCCTGGCCCTGCCTTTGCTGCTCCCTTGGCTGGGGCAGCGGCTGCAGGGGGGGATGGCAGCAGCTTCAGCTCCACGGCACTTCTTGGGGGGAGCTCAGCCCGGGGGGAACGGGCAGGGACCTGATGGGGATGGACAGGGGCCCAGCAGGGACAGCCAGGGCCTGCAGGGGAAGGCACAGGGACAACCTGGCCCCCCACACTGACACCACTGTCTCTGCTCCTCCTTGCAGGCTCCATGGCCAGGCACAGTTTGTGTTCCTGGGTGCCCACCAGCTCAGCACTTGCAGCCGCTCAAATCAGCGCCCGCAGCTCTGGAGCAAAGTCCCAGCTCACCTGGCACACAGGGGATGGACACAGCACCTTCTCAGGGCTCTCACAGCTTCTTGTCATCCCCACCACAGGGCTCTCCTTCCTCAGCAGCACCTCTGTCTTGCATTTATTCTCAAGGTCACCTCAGGGTCTGGGCTCAAGGACAGGAACCTGCAGGGAGGGGACATCATGTGTAAGCTGAGGGCTGCCTGCTTGCACTGGCCTCTGGGCTTCTTTCTCCTTCTACAACCAGCCCAGAACTTAGCCTGCTTTTCTAACACCACACATTTACACACTAACCTTGGAGACAGATATGGACAGACATCTCTGTCACCCTGGGGATAGAGTCTCAAGCATGTGCTGCCATAGGAATGGGAATCACAGACTCACAGAATCAGTCACGTTGGAAAAGACCTCCGAGATCATCAACTCCAATCCTGGATCCAACCCTGCCGTGCTTCCCAGACCATGGCACTAAGGCCACGTCCACTCTCACCTTCAACACCTCCAGGGATGGTGACTCCACCCCCTCCCTGCCCAGCCCATTCCAAGGCCTCATTACTCTCTTGGGAAAAAACTGCTTCCTGATATCCAACCTAAACCTCCCCTGGCACAGCTCAAGACCCAGCTCTCTTGTCCTACTGCTGCTTCCTGGCACAACAGCCCCACCCCCACCTGGCTCCAACCTCCTGGCAGGGACTTGCAGAGAGTCAGGAGGTCTCCCCTGAGCCTCCTCTTCTCCAGCCTCAACACCCCCAGCTCCCTCAGCCTCTCCTCACCCCACTTGTGCTCCACTCCCTTCCCCAGCCTCGCTGCTCTTCTCTGCACCTGCTCCAGCCCCTCCAGGGCCTTCCTCAACTCAGGGGCCAGAGCTGGACACAGCACTCCAGGGGTGGCCTCACCAGCGCTCACTCCAGCCCAACAATCACTTCCCTGCTCCTGCTGACACACTCTTCCTCAGCCAGGCCACCAGCCAGTGGCCCTCTTGGCCACCTGGCCACACTCTGCCTCCTCTTCAGCTTCCTGTCCATCCACACTCCCAGCTCCCTTTCTGCCTGCCTGCTCTCCAGACACTCTGGCCCCAGCCCGGGGGGCTGACGGGGCTTCTTGTGGCCAAAGGGCAGGACCCGGCCCTTGGCCTGCTGGAACCTCATCCCCCTGGAATCAGCCCATGGATCCAGCTTGGCCAGGTCCCTCTGCAGAGCCCTCCTGCCTTCAGCACATCAACACACCCCCAGCTTGGTGTCACCTGCACATTTGCTGATGAAATGCCTGGTTCTGCAGCAGCTGCAGATGCTCAAGGGGCAGCAGGACCAACTCAGGGGCCTGGGGGGCTTTGGGGTGTGGGAGGGTCTTGGGGGAGCTGGGGAGGGGCTTTGGGGATTGGGGGGAAAGACCAGTACAGACCAGCACAGACCAGTACCTCCTCACTGCTCCCCAGATCTCTCCTGGAGCTGGGCCACGTTGTCCTGGGACACCTGAGCCCCTCCCAGTGCCCTCCCAGTACAGCCCAGTGCCCCCAGTACAGCCCACTGTGCTCCTGTCCCAGGGTGTCGGGTGACCCCTCTTTGGGGGGGGGTTGGAAGGGATTTGAGGGGGGGCTGGGGGAGATTTGGCTGGATCTGGGGGGGGGTTGGATGGGGATTTGGGAGGTTTTAGGGGGCTTTGGGTGCATTTGGGGGAGTTAAAAGAATCTTGTGGGCATTGGTGGGTCAAAGGTATCTGGGGGGGAGGGGATTAAAAGAAAAAAAGGGGAGTTGGGGGACATTTGAGGAGGTTAATGGGGCCTAGAGGGGGAGAGGAGGGGCTTCCCTATAAGCAAGTCAGTCCTGAGACCCCCCTGGTGTCCCCAAGACCCTTTTGGTGTTTCCAGTTCCCCCCTTGACACCCCCAATTCCACTGTCCCAAAACCCCTCCCCACTGTCCCCAAACCCCATCCCTGATCTCCCCAACCCTCCATCTCACCCCAGGAGCCCCACCTGGACCCTTTGACCCCAGAAATGCCCCCACCCCACCCCCCCCATGCTCACAGAAAGGCCAAGGGCATCTGGGGACATGTTGCAGTTAGTTGGGGGGATTTGGGGGGCACTGGGTGATTACTGGGGCATACTGGGACACACTAGGGAGAAGCAGGGGGCACTGGGAGGGACTGGGGGGAACTGAGGGATGCTGAGAGGGCACTGGGAGGGACTGGGGAGTTACTGGGGGATCACCAGGACACACAGGGGGACACTGGCAGGTTACTGAGCCAAACTG